TTTTTTTAAAGGGAAAAAGGGGGGAAAGTAGTTCCCCCCCCCCCCCCCTCCATATATGCGCAATAATCAAAACGGGTTATAGATAAAATGAGAAAACATAACAGGTGAGCCATAATAATAATGCCGACTCAATCAATTAGTACCATGTTTTCATTCACTTTTTCTTCGTCATCATCTATCACGATTTCTTGTACCATGTCCATAGTGTGAGCTTTCTTTTTATTTCTTTCTGGTTCATCTTGGTTTATATGTTTCCTTTTTTTTGTGCTGCGAAGCGGGGAGTGGAAAAAAAAAAAAAAAAAAAAAATAGATAAAAAAAAAAAAATATGATCAACTTTTTGTAGCATATGCCTGTGTGCATTTATCACGATGGTGAAATTTTTAGCGCAATAAACTTCTACAGTGTGAAAGTGCTAGGATAGAAAACTTCTGTGGTGAGAAAAATTTATAACACATTTGTTATACCTGTCGGATAATGGCCCTTTCTCCTCCTCCTCTTCTTCTTCTTCTTCCCCCTCCTTCTTGTGGAAAATTTCTGCCTTTCTTTTTTTGGCAATTTTTTGCTTTATGTGGAAAGGCGTCTGGAGGGATGGGTCCTCCTTGAGGTGAATTTCTAATTGGTCCTTATCATTTTGAAAATCTGTCAAAATTAAAACTTCATCATTTTTAATGTCCCAGTAGGCGAGGGAGTTGTACAAACTTTTTATATATTCCTTATCATTTTCCAAAAACAAATCGTAATCAAATATGTTTCTGTCTTGCTTGTCTAGAAAAGGGTACAAGAAAGACAACTCATTTGTACATATATCCTTTACAAAATCATATAGTGTGATATCATTAAAACTTTTGATATAAATATCTATCATTGGTTGTTGGCATATGTAGCAGTTTGGATTTGGTGCTTCCAAAATTTCTGCATTTACAATATTCCCACGCGAAAACATTTTGTTTCCACTAACAATGCTTTTGACCCATACATGTTTTGCTTTGCTATCTCTTAAAGTGGTTTTTTGAACTTCCTTTTCATCCCCTTTTGCACGCTCAAAGTATTCAATGACATGAATGAGCTGAAAGATTTGAAGTGAGGCCACAATGGCATTAGTGGAGGAAATGGCTGGGATGATATTTCCTGCTATAGACTGCACATCAAATTTGCTTTTTTGTTTAATTGAAAAATTCATCATTCTTAAATTTGATATGGCTGTTATGAAGTTCATACAATCATCATCGTCCTTGTCGAATATTATATATTCTTCTACTTGTTTATTTATATTTAAATTTTTATACAATTTATTGAATGATTCTATGTACATTTTTACGCATTCTTCCTTATTCCATATATTCTGTGAGCACAGTTTAATGTTGCTTTGTTCACTTCCTTTATGTTTATGCGATTTGCTGTTTTCGTCGACTTTGGAATCTCTCTTTTCATTTGTCCTTTCATTTGGTTCTTCCTTAGGAGAAGCAGGTGTTACCTGCTCGTGGTTCCCTTTTTTAATTTTTCCAGATTTATTTTCTTCCTTCTTTTCATTCACATTATCATTGTTCCATATATTCGAATGTGCTGTCTCAGTGGGCACATTTTGCAGCAAATTATTCCACTGAAACAGTATGGGAATTGGTTCCGTTGCATAATCCTTTTTCAATACCGCGAGTTCCTTGATGGTGTCATGGAAGAGGTAATTAAAAATGTAGATAATTATTTCCTTTTGTTCCATATTTCTTTTTTTAGACTCTTCTTCGATGTGATTTTTAATATCAATTAATGTTTCATTATCACTTTTACAAAAAAAAGTTTCAAAAATGAGTCTTCCCCAAGCAACACAATGTTCTGGTAAAGATGGAGTCTGTCTAATTGTACATATGGCATAAGTTTTGTTTTTAGGTTTTTCTTCACAATTGTAACATTTGGTTTCATTAGAAAAAATGGGATATACTTGACCATTATATCCTGTACTTCCTGCTTCTATTAATACTTTTTTTTCCATTATACATAATTTGTTTACATATTTCCTTGCCTTAATATTATCCAATGCATTGATCACATAATCATATTTGGATATGTCACTACTCTTCATTGTGCAAACATCAAATGTGTATGCATTGATGTTTAAATCTTTGCAATGTTTCAGAGCCCTTTCTTTTGCTACAAATGATTTGTATTTTTTTACATCTTCTTTTTTAAATAAAAATTGTCTATTCAAATTTGTTATATCAATTGTATCAATGTCTATTATGTCTATGTTTCTACATCCTATCGTGATTATGTTTTTTAGAAATTCGCTTCCTATTCCTCCTGCCCCCACCAGCAGTATTTTCATATTCTCTATTTTGTCGCATATTTTGCTGTCGAAAATTTTTCTCAAAGTCTTATGCATTTTGGTCGCACTGCGTTTGGAGGTACAAGAGTGGGAACAGTTTGCTGTGCTCGGTTCAGAAATGGTTCCCAAAATTTTCTCAAAAATGGTTCCCAAAAATTCTTCTTACATATGGATGCAAAAATTTAAGCCATAAATTTCAGTCTTTTTATGTGTACCTGCCTAGTCTCTCTCTTCGGGGACCTCGGTTTTTAGACCTCAAAGAGGTTGAGACAAATTTTGGGTACAAATAAATGTAGCCTCTTAAAAGAGGGAGCGAGATGAAGTGGGAAGAAGGGGAATTTTTGACTTCGAAAAATGAAGAATTTGTAAAGAGTAGCAAAATGGAGCTGACGGGAATATGTTCTTTAACGTAAACGTATTGTGTACATGTCATACATCCTAAATGCGTTTTTTTTTTTTTTTTTTTTTTTTCTTATTCATTGCGACATATTCATTAAAGCGAGGGTAAAAAAAAAAAAAAAAAAAAAAAAAAAAAAAAAAAAAAGTTATAGGAAGAAAAATTGCACCCTCGTAAATATATATAAAAAAAAAAAGTGATAACTTTCTTAATGGTACACGCACCTCAAATTAACACCATTACTTCAGCCAATGAACATGATAAAATTCGTGTAATCTTCTCATAAAATAAAGTTTCACATAGTTCACGTTTGTGTTCGCGCTCGTGCACATTTTTTTATTCATTCGTATATGTTAAATTAGGATACTGTAGTATCACATGAACCTTTTTTTAAATCTCCTCTACCTTTACAGTGCAAAAAATATGTACTAAGCAAAATATACATTTAACACGCTTTTATTTTTTTTTTGCTTGGGCTGCGATATTATCCTATATGTAGTGAACGATGGATACAGAAACAACAAGCATTATTTCTGATTAATTCTTTTTTCCGTCATTTATTTGAAGCACAAATCCCTTTGCGATTATCCTTAGGGAATGGTCCCATTTTTTCCATACCAAGTGAGGCAAACACATATGGGCATGGGAATTAAGGGCGAAAAGGAGAGAAACGAAAAAAAATTAAACAAATTAAACAAAACAAATTAGCAAAACAAATTAGCAAAACAAATTAGCAAAACAAATTAGCAAAACAAATTAGCAAAACAAATTAGCAAAACAAATTAGGCAAAACAAATTAAATGAAATAAAATGAATGAAAACGCACGGAAGGGACCCGAACATGGACGCATTAAATGAATACTTCCATTTTTACGAGCCCAAACGTGAATGGGCGTTAAGGGGGAAAAGGGCAAATAAACCACTGTAGCCACTTTTACTGCAACATTCTGCTTCCATTTCTGGCAAAGTGCGACTTCAGTTCCGAAAATATAGGGTTGTATATATATTTCATTTTTACTATTTTTCTGTCTTTCTTCATCATTGAGGTATCCCAAAATGAATGTTTCTCCATGTTATACACATGATGCTTTTACATATCTCTCCCATTGCATCAGGAATACCTATCGATATTCACTTTTTTTTTTTTTTTTTTTTTTTTGCTTTTCTTTATGATAAAGCTCACACCACACCATCTCGGCTGACATATTACATGGTCATAGTAGTAGAGTAGTTTTTCAGTAGTGTAGCAGTAGTGATAATGAAAATGGACTTACTACTATTGCAATGGGAAGATTTTTCTCTTTTGTGGGGAATGTTGTCTAAATAAAAGTAAAAAAAAAATAATCGAATGGGAGAGGGACCTAAGTTGAGTGTGTGGCACTTTGTAAAGATGCCATAAATTGCTCAATTCATTGGGTAATAAAATTGAAGAAGAAATAATTTTACTTTCTTTGTTCATATATGATTACAATTCCCTTTCTCTTCCCTAAACAATGTTAACATAATAATTATGTATACTTTAACACTACAACAATTAACAATCGAAAGAAATTTGCATTAGCAACGTTTAATTTTTATTTATGTAACAATGGTTAAAAAAAAAAAAAAAATTTCTATATTCCACATTATTGTGTATGCATACATTCGCACCATGTTAGGAATATGGGGAAAGGGGGGAGGGGAAAAAAAAAAAAAAAAAAAAAAAAAAGTAATAATGTGTAGAAAATAGTTATGACTATTCATAATTATTTTTTTCATTTTGTTCATATTTTTTCACACAGTTGCATGAACGTGCATAATTTTATTTTTATTATTTTATTTTTTTTTTTTTTTTATTCTTATTAACATTATATCTGCATTGCATGAGTGTAATAATTTATTTATTTATTTTTTTTTTTTTTCATACTGGATGGACTTACCCGTTTTAGGTTTTTTTTTTTTTTTTTTTTTTTTCTAACAAAGAACATTTCTGAAACATTTTTGTTTTTAATTTTCCATCCGTCTGCTAAGGGATAAATAAATTCTAACCTTTTTTTTGCTTCGTCCTTTTCGTCTTTCCTCCTTTGGGGTAATGATAAGGGAACTGCGTTTGATTGCAAAAGTTGTTAAACACACAATATAAGCGTACTGACGCAAAACGAAGCAAACCAAAGCAAACCAAGCGGGTATTCCAATTTTGGCATACGTACGGGTAAATCTTCAAAGTTACACTTCCAACTCCCATTGGTTAGAAGAAATGCCTTTAAAAAAAGCTCGTCTATTCCTAATTTGTGACAAGGAGGGGTTCGTATGGATTCCAGTGTTAAGAAATGAATGGGAAATAAAATATCTTTTTTGTGATGATGAGAAATTGAAAAAATGCTATGTAGACACATTTGGCCTGCACGAGACAGAGACGAATACACATGATAATGTTTTAAAATTTATAGAAAATCAAAATTTTGAAAATGTAGACTTGTTATTTTTAGCCATATCTACAACGAAGTTGCATGAGCTTATTTTGGAGTATGTAATAAATAAAAAAAAGTTTTACTATATATTTAGTTCTAACATACCGACATTAAATATTCAAAAATTAGAAAAATTAAAAAGATTGATAAATAATTTTAATATGAATACCAATATAGTATATGACGTTAAGGAAGAATTTAAACATATTAATAGACAATTCTATTGGAATATCTTTAACCCATTAATAAATGAGCGAGTTTTTTACAGTCTTAAAAATATACTTAACGAGTTAGGAGGGCATATACATGCGGTACAAATAGAATCCACGTTTATTCCATTTTTAACCGAAAATGAGGGAGTAGAAAATGCCCTATTTTACAGAACTGTTCTAATAATCTCGTTAATTGAATTTTTATTTGGAAAACCAAAGAGTGTTTCAGCTAAATGCTATTCTTTAAAAAGTGAAAATGTCACAATTAAGTCCATTGTTGGTAGTGCACTCTTCGCCTCCTTAAATTGCCACTTTAATATTTCCGTTAATTCGTGTAATAAAATATTTGACTTTAAAGTCTACGGAGATGACGGGTTTGTCGATGTCTCTTACAACACGGAGCACAACTGTGAGCAGCAAAAGGGAGAAAAAAAAGAGCAAACAAAAAAGAGCGAAAAAAAACTATATGCACATATGTATTTTTCCAAACTGCTACGGTAGTCTCATCTGTATAAATTACCTAAGAACATTGTTGTCGACAGGGGAAAACAATTGAGTTATGCTTTCCCATGGTATGTATTACAATGAACCATTCAAAGGAACACTATTGAAAAAAAAGTTTTTCTCCCTTTTTACAGGTTTCCAACTAGTGCGATGTCTGAATCATTACGAATATCCCAGTCTGTTCGTTGAAGGATCTCATGAAAGCGCTTTAAATGTATGTACACAGGAGTGAGAGAAGAGAGGGAAAATATGTGTATACCTGTGCATACGCGTTTGTGCATGTGCATGTCCATATGTATGTGTACGTGCGTGATTCCCCTCATGCGCATCGAAGCGGACGAAACGAAGGAATTATGTCGATGTTTCACCACACACTTTTTTAATTCTTTCGCAGGAACTAAAATACTTTATCGATGAAAAACTTTATACAAATAAGTATATTAACGTATACAACAGTGCTGTGCATACAGCTCTAGGTTTGTGGAGGAGCAATGGGGAAAATGTTTCTCTAGAAAACAAAGAGAGCGATGAATGTGATAATTTAAAAGCGAAAATAAAAATAGAAGCAGTGAAAGACTGTATCACTGCATGAACGCTTAAAAATCAGGGTAATCGTTAATATAAAATTATAAGAACACACTGGACCGTGTTACCCTCCATGTGCTGCTTGCTTAGATGCACTGTTTTGGTTAGACTGCAGTATGGAAAAAAAATGGACAAAAAAAAAAAAAAAAAAAAAAAAAAGGTTTGGAAAGGAGCACCAAGCAAGATAAACATCCAAATGCATATACCTAAGTAGACGTACACACGTAAGTGCTTACATATATACATATTCACATTTGCGTAAGTAAAAACCCCAGTTCAGTGTAAGAACATATATTTATCAGGTGTACTCTTCGAGAGGCTTTGCCTTTCGTTCAAATGTTAAATTCCGCTCATGAAGGGAATACTACAAGGAATAAAAAGAAAAAAAAAAAAAAAAAAAAAAAAAAACGTAGTTTTCATGTACATTTTTTTACATCATACTTGTGTATGCACACAAGTATGAAATGTTCGTTTTTTCTTTTTTTTTTTTTTTTTTTTTTTTTTTCACATCACTTGTGTGTGTATGCAAAGCACCAAGTGTTGGTTGTTTTTTTTTTTTTTTTTTGTACTATTCCTTACTATATGTTTGGCGTCTGTTCTTTGTATTTTCTGTACTCCTCTCCGTAACACTCAAGTAAGTATTTTTCCTCCATTTTGATTGTTCGGTAGAAATATGTCCACGATATGAAAAAACATAAAATAAAGGAGAAAATGTTAAATAGGGATAATTGCAAAACTGAAAAAAAAAAAAAAAGAAGCAGTGTGATGAATTCGCGAAGACGTGTCGATTTTTATACATAAAAATGTATGTAATTTTAGAGGCCTGTGTCTTATGGTCGAGAATTGGGTATCTATCTAAAAAGGTGTTTTTTCACATAATTTTTTTTATTGGTATGGAGAATGTGTGGCCAAATATGCATCATTCTTATCACCATTTGACATTTTTCAACTTACACAATGCATAGTAAAACCAACCAGTGTAAGAGGGATGTCTCATATACTTGTACAATCCAGATGTCACCAACTTGTGTTTTCCCTTGATCGACTTATAAACCAAACATCCAGTGTTCTGAACGTAAAAAGAGAAATTCTTAGAACAATGAATAAGAGCAAATACTCTCAAAAGCATTCCCAGAACGCTAATCAAAAGGGACAATAATATTACCAAAAGGTAGTAGTTGTATATTTTCTCAACATTTTGGATCGCATGATACCTAAAAAATATATTTGCATATTTTAAAACAATTTTTTGAAATAAAGAATTATTTAAGTCGTACGATTTGTACGTTTTATTTATGTCCCCATTTATTATGTCTCCATTTATTATGTCTCGATCGATTATGCCTCGATCGATTATGTCCCCATTTATTATGCTTCGATTTGTTATGCTTCTATTTGTTATGTCTACTCTGGATGATGTAGTTGTGGTGAACAGGCATTGAGCATATGTTCTCTCATGGTTAGTGTCTAAATTGGCAGAGCCACTAGATGAGACAATGAAATCCTCGTTCGTGCTGAATGGTGTGATTTGAAAATCTCGTTTTAATGGAATATACTGATTTCTATGTTCAATTAAGACATAAGGAGGGAAAATGGTTCTGTGGGAATGTAGAAATGAACTCTTACCTAGTATCCCTTTTATTAGTACTCTATTCTTGAAAAGGTGTAAAAAACTTGACTTTTTTGATAAATTAACTAATTTTCCTTTCTTTAGTAAAAAATTATTTGAAACTTGATTTCCATTCTGTAGTTTCCATTTGGCGAATAGGTTTGGCTTTCCCAGAATTTCATTTAATGGATATAAATCATTATTGGTATTTATTTTAATTTGATTAATATAGTAGTAGGTGCATATGTGAGAACCATTATATAGATGATTTTGAAGAAAAAAATAATTTACTAATAAAAGTTTATGAATGATTTTTTTGTTTATGTACTTTTCAAAAATGTGTAAAAAGGGAAATAAAAATATCTTAGCATAATATTCAAAAAGGGTTAGTATGAAAAAATATACATAACCATAGTTTGGATTTACTAAAAAATTGTAATAATTGTGATTATTTTTATTATGTAAAAACGACAGAAAGAATTCTGACAAATGGAATATTATGATAATTAAGTAAAATAAATTTAGAGGGAAGTTGTTTTTTATATTCAAAAGAAAGTGGAAAAAAAAAAAAAAAAAATATACTAATAACACTTTTGCAAATATATAATTATATTTACTCCGTTTCGAGTAGACATTTTTGTTCGGCTGAAATGCAATTAAAATGTAAATGCAAACGAATCCATATTCTAAGAAAATGTGCAAATAATGATCAAATGAAACATACACTCTAGCTACCTTTTCCAGTTCTTTGTTCACATGGAGGTTAATAAAGTAGAACACGAATCTTTTGTAATTCAAAAGGGATATGTACAAAAGTAGGGATGTCAAAATGTACGCAGATACGTTCATTTTGAGTTGGTAGTGTTTGCGATGTCTTATTTTATTTTTTTTTTTTTATTTTTCATTTTTGTTCTGTGTTCTCTCCGTTTTGTGCTTCTCACCCGTTTCACTTTTTTAAAAATAGTATTATCTCCGATAATTCTTCTCAAATTCACGAGTGTCCCAAATTGGCATATTTGCAAAAGTTGAAAATGATTCTAACATGTACACGTGTTGGTAAAGGTATAGCTAAATGTTACGTACAGTTGTTATGAACAGAAAAAAAAACATACACGCAAAAATAAATTATATGGGTAAAAACAGAGGCTATTAAAAGTGTTGCATTTTTTTTTTTTTTTTTTTTTTTGAAGAGAGGGCATAATATCATTATGATAACATGTTGAAGTGGAACTTTTGCAAAGAAAATGTAACGAAAGAGGGCGACCTTTAACTGATTTATTGCCATTTTTTTTTTTTTTTTTTTTTCATCTCTATTTTGCCCACTATAGTTTGTTATTTATTTATTCATTATTCTTTGCCCATTATTCTATTTTTATGCACATTTAGAATGTGTTGCATTTGCATGGTCATACTTTTGCACCAAACAAATTCACAACAATCTTTCATCAATTCAAAAAAAAAGAAAAAAAAAAAAATCTCATTTTAGGAACCACTTTGGAGCATCGCACAACAGTTTCATCTATAATGCTCACTTAGAAAAATTAGCTTTTATTCAGTTTGGCCCTTATTTAGTTTGGCCCTTATTCAGTTTGGCCCTTATTTAGTTTGGCCCTTATTTAGTTTGGCCCTTATTTAGTTTGGCCCTTATTTAGTTTGGCCCTTATTTAGTTTGGCCCTTATTTAGTTTGGCCCTTATTTAGTTTGGCCCTTATTTAGTTTTGCCTTTATTCAGTTTGGTCTTTATTTTTATTTTTCATATTTTGTTTCCCCCTTTGGCAACTGCTTGTTTAGGACCCCACATGCTGAATGTACAAACATGTGTCCCTTCTTTTTGTACTGCTTAACACGTTTATCCACAGCTATCAAATAAAATACCTTCATGAAACATTCATCACTCCATTTTTCTCTCGAAAAAGGTGTAGTATCAGTACTAACCGAGGCCAATTCAAGGGAGTGCTTAAATTCAAGTATCATTCTTTTTCACACATTTCCATAAAAGAAAAAGGGGAAAATCAAAACGAGTCCAATATATTTGACAAATCATATGTGTATCATACCCCAGTGTTAGTTGATGAAGTGATAGAGTACCTTAGAAATGACTCTTTCAGAAATGGAGGCCAAAGAAGGCATCACACAGATGGGGATGATCCAAAGGGCATTCCCCCACTCTATGATGGTAATAAAACTGTAGGAGGAAAAATAAAAGAAAAGGAAAAAGAAATTTCTGTCGTACGTGGAAAAATGGAAAATTGTGAAACCCTGAATGAGGGAAAGTCACAAAGGGGTGCTTTTGCCAGACCTTCTGCATCTGCTTCATCCGTTCTCGCCCCAGATTTGTCCTCTCCCGCACCAGATTCGTCCTTTCCCACACCAAATTCGTCCTCTCCCACACCAGATTTGTCCTCTCCCACACCAGATTTGTCCTCTCCCACACCAGATTCGGCTTTACCCACATCTTCCCCCTCATCATCAGTACCGTTTCTCCCAATGGAGGTGAATTCGACAGAGTACTATATCGACGCGACTCTGGGAGGAGGAGGTCACACAATGGAAATTTTAAAAAACTTTCCTCAAACCTGCAAAGTTATAGCAGTAGACAAAGACATAGAATCCATATATTATAATAAACATAAACTACAGAAGTATTTAGATCAAGAGAAATTAACCATAATACATGGAGACTATAGAAACATTATGAACCTACTTTATCGACATTCGCTTCCACTATTTGGTAAGTACAGTGGAATATTAATAGATTTAGGTATGTCTACCCATCAGCTAAAATGTAGAAAGAGAGGGTTTAGCTACAAATATAATGATCTTCTTGACATGTGTATGGACAAATACACAACAGCAGAGTATGCCAAAATGTGTGGATTCACTGATCCGTACGATTCGAAGGGGCCATCCATTTCGAGGGATTCAAATCAGTCAGATAATTCTAAGGATTCGAACAATATGAACGAGTTTAGCACTACGAATGCATCGAAAAAGCAAATAGGAAGAATCCTCAATAAATACAATTACACACAGTTAAAATTCATCATGTACACTTATGGTCAAGAAAAGAAGGCATCAAAAATTGCAAAAAAAATTATTCAGTGGAGAAAAAGCAATGGAATGATTACGACAACATATCATCTACGGGACATTATTCTTTCAACATGTAAACAGAATTACAAAGCAAATCAAAAGGTTTTATCTAGGGTATTTCAATCCTTTAGAATTTATATTAACGATGAATTAAATGCATTAAAAGAGTTTTTATTATCATGTTACAAATTACTAAAACCAAGAAAAAGACTAGTTGTTATTTCCTACCATTCCTTGGAATATAGATGTGTTGAAGCGTTTATACAAGGGGAAAAAAAATTATGGGTAAAAGTTAACGAAAATGTAATAACTCCAAGCGAAATGGAGTTAAAGGTAAACAATTCTGCACGTTCAGCAAAAATGTCTGTTTTTGAAAAAATTTAGCCGATAAATCAGCTAGGTGTGTGTTCCTCCACTTTACATAAGTGTGTGCAAATCTGTTAGTGGTTTTTTTTACATCCCTCAAGGGTACCATATATACATATATATATATGTATATTTTTCATTTGTTGACTGTGAATTTATGTGCGCATGGGCAATATGTATATTATTTTATTGTGAACGAAATCAAGCATAAATCAAACACCCAAACGGTGCTCATCTAAGACCTCTACATACTATAAAGATGTGGAAAGTACACTCATTTATACACATATATATAAAAAAAAAAAAAAAAAAAACTTCATGTATGTGTTATGAAAATGTTATGCTACTTTCTTAGTAAGAAAAGGGATAGAAGAACGGTAGGGGTAATTTTTCTATCTCTTTTCTATCTCCTTTCTATCTCTTTTCTTTACTTTCCTTTTCCTTTCTCTTACTTTTTTTTTTTTTTTTTTTAATTTTACAAAAAAAAGCAAATCTTGTCTCATAGCTTGCCATCACCTTTTATAAGCCGGTGCCTGTCGATTTCTTCTTATTCTTCCTCCGTATCCGGTTTTTCTTCTGATATATTCTGTTCCGTTCATAATTTTCCTTTTCCTATCTGAAAAATATCGTATTTTCGTTTGCTTGGGGGGGGATTATATATATATATATAAAGGGAGGAAAAAGTAGGGTTAAAGAAAAGAAAATATAAAATATGCATTCATTTTGCAAGGTCTACAGAATGAATTGTTAAAATGAATGACACATAGAACATTTTCCACTACGCTTATTAGAGCGTAAACCTTACCATAAAATTTGGCATATTCACCAGTTTTATAAGTATATTGATACGGCTCATTTTTTGTCTTTGCGTAATGTTAAGAGTGTGAAATATGAACGAAAAAATTAATTGCTTAAAAAGTGCGAAGAGCGGCCAAAAAATGCTACAAAAGCTGAAAATTGTTCAAACGTATATGATGCTAATCAGTTTGTGAGATTTTCATTCCTTATTTAAAAAAAAGTAAAAAACATAATAATAAAATAAAGTATAACGTAGTATTTTAATTTAACTTTATTATTTTTTTTTTTATCAAGCCCAAGCTAAATTTCTGCATGCCCACCTATTGAGATCTAACGAATAGTAGGTTCCTTTCAGCTGGCTAAAAAATGCTACTCTTTAGAAGTTTGTAAAAAGTTAAACTGAAAAGTGCTTGTGGAAAATTATAGAAGCTTTTAATGTGTTCACCTTTTTGATTAATTTTGCATTTATTATTAATTTTGCATTTATGATTAATTTTGCATTTAAGATTAATTTTGCATTTATGATTAATTTTGCATTTAAGATTAATTTTGCATTTATGATTAATTTTGCATTTAAGATTAATTTTGCATTTATGATTAGTTTTGCATTTATGATTAATTTTGCATTTATGATTAATTTTGCATTTATGATTAATTTTACATTTATGATTTATTTTACCTTTTTTTTTTCTCTTTTTTTTTTTTTTCGCCTGTTCATGCATTTAAAAAAATAGTGATGAGAATAACAATATAAAGAAAATATGTATTGCACACCTCTACAATTATGTGTGCACATCTTCTTGTTGTTCATACTTAAAGGGGGGGGTATTAAAAAAAAAAAAAAAAAAAAAAAATCTCCTTCACAATTGGCTAGCACATTCCAAAAATAAAAAAAACTCCAACATTTGTCTTTAGCGTCAAAATGGATAAACAACAACAACAACAACAACAACAAAAAAAAAAAAAAAAAAAACCTACATTTTGGGGTTACACACATTCGTATGAACAATTCATTCTTATAAAATGTATGAACGGATAGTTCTATATGAACAAGTCCATAATTTTTAAACAAAAAAAAAAAAAAAAGAAAAAAAAAAGAAATACAACAATTTTATTTTGAATTGACTTTAACAAACCTTATACATTACTCTTTATGAAAAATTTTTCCCTATTTTATTTATTCCCTGTCTAAACAACTTTTTTGTTCTTTTTTGTTCTTTTGTTCTTTTGTTCTTTTGTTCTTTTGTTCTTTTGTTCTTTTGTTCTTTTGTTCTTTTGTTCTTTGTTCTTTTGTTCTTTTGTTCTTTTGTTCTTTTGTTCTTTTGTTCTTTTGTTCTTTTGTTCTTTTGTTCTTTTGTTCTTTTGTTCTTTTTTTTTTTTTTTTTTTTTTTTGCCACCCTTTTTGCTCACCTTTATGTTAACCTTTTTGCTTACTTTTATGTTTATTTTTTTCTTTTTTTTATTCTCTCCCTTCACAACTATTTTGAAGTTCCAGATTAATTCTTTCACCTATACATCATTTCGAGCTTTCTCTAATTTGCTTTCTTACGTTGGCCATTTTAAGAAGCGAAACATAAGAAACAGGACCTACCTTTGCTTGTTCACGTTGTTATCTTTTATTTCATTTAATTCCAGTTACTCCAACTAGGACAGGTGTATGAACTTTTTTTTTTTTTTTTTCGATCCAAGCAGTGTATACTATATATCAAAAATGGAAAACGCTTTTTACATATATACCAAGAACGCCACTGAAATGGATAACAGAACCTTCGTAAAAATTTTAAAGGACTCTAGTAATGACATTCAAAAGAATATTTAACTCGTTGTTCGCTTGCGTGTGCATATGTACATATATATAAATTCGTGTAATATACATATTATCTTCTTTGTATGAGTTTTTTATATGTTCTTCACTCAAATGTGCGAAAAGTTTACATACATATTTTTTTTTTTTTTTTTTTTTTATGTTATTTCTTCCCCTTTTTAAGATACTTGAAAAGTTGAAAAACTTTTTTCTTTTCATTCATATTACCCTTCTCTCAGCTTGTTTGTGTAAAAGTTTGCATATATATGACCCCAGCATGCAGTTTTTCCAAATATAAGTACATTTATATATATGATTATGATTTTACTTACATATACCCTTTTTCTCAGAATTGCTGAACAAAAATTTGACATCTGTTGACGCGGATATCACATTTGCTAAAGTTAAAACAAAAGGAGCCAAAAGAATTAACTATGACCAATTTGTCGAAGCGGTTAAGCATTTAGTTGAAAAACATAAGTTAGATTATGATAAATTTGTACAAACTTTATGCAATGAAGCTTCGAACGGACCAATTTTGTATGGGACAAAAGCTTCTAATATCAGATTTCATGATGACAAATCTACCTATACAGGTGTTCATAAGTTAGGTGGACCAACCATTATTGACAAAAACAAAACCCAATTTTCTGACATTTCAGAAATTACAGATCGTTCTGAATGCAACATAAGGGGAGTTAATGTCAACGTTGAGAAGAATGTTTAACGGAAGCGATATGGCGAAGGAGAGATATTTCTACGTCTATGTCTATGTCTACTTCTATTTCTACTTCTATTTCTATTTCTACTTCTACTCTTATTTCTACTTCTACTTCTATTTCTACTTCTGTTTCTACTTCTGTTTCTACTTCTGTTTCTACTCCTGTTTCTACTCCTGTTTCTACTTCTATTTCTGTTTTTTTTTTTTTTTTCTTTTCCTCTATTTTTTGAATTTATTCACCTATATATTTCTCCATTTGTTGCTGCATATAGGATGAATGTGAAAACATTTATTCTCGCGTCTGCGTGCACAAGGTGCCCATGTGAATACTAGATCATCGTGTATAAATTCATTTTTTCTTATTTTTAATGTTTGTATGGAAAAATTGAGCAAAATTTTTGGTGTGCATAAGGGATGTGGCCATAGCTTTAATGTTGCCACATATTTCCACACATTGCCATGTTTTAACACATTTTCTGCTTTGTCTTTTTAGCCAAACGTATACGAACAAAACAAAACTCCAAAGTATATAGGACGTGTCCTGTCCTATTCCAAATGTGCATGCATGAAAATAGTGAAAGTAGGGGTACATGTTGACAAGCATGAGTACTGTACAAATCGAAATCCTTAACATTTGTTTTTTTCCCCACGCAAACATTACAATTGTGTATCGTACAAATAAATCATCCCTTAACATGAATTGTCTTATGCGTTACCATTTTATATTATAATAGAAAACAAAAAAAAAAAAAAAAAAAAAAAAAAAAGCACAACACAATACAGTGAAGTACAAGATAAAAGATTGTAAAATAACATAGAATTCTACGTTTCTTTGATGTGTAGGATGGTTGCCAAGAAAGACTCAAATCGGAACATGCAACTGTGGAAAAGTGATATGCTTAAATGTTTTTCTTAACCGCTGTGTGTGTGCATAATATAATTTTTTTTCGCATGTAGCAAAGTAAAATAAACAACAATAGATCAAGGGTCCGTAAGTGTGTGTGAAAATTGTTCCCCATGAAATACGCAGAAATTGGGAATACCTCAAAATAAGACCTACAAGTAAAAAGTGTATAACAACTGGTCTGATTTAGTTCGAAACAAAATTAGTTTGAAAAATTCGTATATATTTGCACATGTGTATGCATATATATTGGGGCATAGTTCTTCTTCTTCCTCTTCTTCTTTTTTTTTTTTTTTTTTCTGCTGTTTATTTCAATGTGTACAGGAAAAGTGAGACCCACTCTGTTGCAGTGCTGCATTTTCCTCGCATATCGAAAATTGTAAAAACTGGGGGAAAAAAAAAAAAAAATAAATAAATAAAATAATGTGGCGTTATAGGAACATTCTTCTCAATTAAAAAACAAAAAGAAAAAAAAAAAGGAAAGAAGGAATTTTTCTATTTTACAAACTTACTGCCTTATTTTCCCATTTTTTTTTTTTTTTATAAAGCCTTAAATACTTCGCCCTTTTCGAACATGTTGCTGAAATATAAAAGGAAAAACAGAGAGGAACATTTTTTTTTATTTTTTTATTTTGCCATTTCCCCCTTGAATGATAGTAGCATTTAAATTTCCTTGTTCGTTCGTTTGTTTTTTTTTTTTTTTTTGCATGTTTTCTCTACATGTTTTTTTGTCTTTTTGTTTGTCGATTTTCTCTGCACGTTTTTTTGTCTTTTTGTTTGTCGATTTTCTCTGCACGTTTTTTTGTCTTTTTGTTTGTCGATTTTCTCTGCACGTTTTTTTGTCTTTTTGTTTGTCGATTTTCTCTGCACGTTTTTTTGTCTTTTTGTTTGTCGATTTTCTCTGCACGTTTTTTTATCTTTTTGTTTTTCTACCTATCCGTTAGTTCCTTCTGTTGTTGCTACGCCCCAATTGCACTTGGACTAGACATGTGGGTACATACATGGGAATATGCATATTCTTTCTATTCTATATTTCATTTCTTAGCCCACTTGTGATATTTTTCTCCTCTTTTACTTGTTTTGATTGAATTATCATCCCATTTAAATTAACTTGGGTGTAGGAAATTTGTAACTGTAGAACTTCTTTTCTTTTTAATGATGAGAACAGGTAAGATATTATTCCCTGTAGCAACACATGTGTATGATCATTGATAACATTTCGTGTCTTCCTTTATTGTGATCTGTGTAATTTACTAAGGCATAGAAAGTTTTTTTTTTTGGCTGGTCAGAAAAAAAGGGTACAAGAGGAATGCGAAAAAGAAAAAAAAAAAAAAAAATTAAAACAAGCTGAAAAAATTAAAACAAATTAAAGTAAAAAAAAAAAAAATAAAATAAAATTAACGAAGGCATCGAAAAAGCTCATTATTTGTTGTCAGAAGAGTGTCCTTGACGCGCATATGCCTACATTTGGGTAAAATGGAAAATTTTGAAATTCTGAAAAAACACTTAAACACAGAAAAGGTTTTCTATGACTTCAACTGTCATGAACTAGTTTTAGACAAATCTTTCGACCATTCACTAAATGAACATTTCGAGTCTGATAATATTAGTGAAGAGGGGAAATTTGTATGTGCGGATCAGGATAATGATGGAAAAAATGAGCATTCAAATATAAACTTAAGGGAAAAGAATAAACAGTCTGAACGAAAAGCAAAATGGGGTGATATATTTGGGCGGAGCAATGAACAGGAGAATCCAACTATGAACCGAAAGATGAAAAAAGGAAAAGGGGGAGGAGGGAGTATCAAAATTGGCAATACCAGTAAAGAGAGAAGAAGTCTAAGCGTAAGCAGCAATCAAAAATATGAACAAGAAAATCAAAAAGAAAATTCCAACAACAGAAGCAACAACACAAATCGAAACAGAGGCAACACTCCAAATCTCAAGAATCACAAGGAGGAGGGTACTGAAACGGAAGCTATCCCAAGCACCCCTATCCAGTTGTGCATGTCAAAAAATGGGTGCATAAATAAAAGAAAAGAAAAAATAAAAAAATGTGACTTTATAGAAGAAATAAAATTGCAAGAATCATCCAGTGAAATGCATTTTATTCCACCTGTAGATATACTCTATGATAATGAAAAAGTAATATTTTTTTTTTTCATTTCTGGAGATTTACAAAATTTTAATATTTCGACAAGCAATAATTATGTCACTATATCTGGGAAAAAAATTCCTTATGATACTCATAAATGTGCAAATTACTATTCGCATGAAATAAAAGCAGGGGATTTTGTGCGAACCTATTACTTCATGAAATCAATAGAACAGGAGAAAATTCGTTACGAGCACAAAAATGGGGTTGTGAAAATATTCATCTACCTTTCCGGAGGTGCCAAATCATGATACATATACCCACCCCCCCCCACACACACACCGCTTACATACATACATACAAATAAATAAATTTTTACATACACATAACCTTTGCATCTCTGCATGTATAATGTGTGCTTGGGTAAAGTACATTACTTGATGAGTATTAAAAACACATTATTACGCATCATCCCATTTTATGTACACCATAATTTCTTCGCGATGAAACGATTGTCTACTTTTTCTTCTTCTTTTCTTTTCAAACATTCCAGCCCATTTAGTATGTATCAGCATTTTCTTACTCTTGAACAAGAACAAACCCTTGATTTATTTTACAAAAAAGTTTACATTCACGTGCATACACATCCATACACATTAATATGTATGCATGTTTGCGTATCTATATATATGTACATATTTTTCCCCTTAACAAATTTGTTTGTTTGCACATTTTGGAGAATTTCACACACACACACACACACACAAAAAAAAAAAAAAAAAAAAAAAAAAAAAAAAAAGGGAAAAAAGAATGGAAAAAAAAAAGGAAAACTAAAAAAAAAAAAAAAAAAAAAAAAAAAATTCCTTTCACAAAAGGCCAAACGGGAAAATTATTTAACTTGGAAAAAATTAAAAAAAAAAAAAAAAAAAAAATATATATACATGGTTAGGTATATATGTGGTCAAATGGGCACGTATATATATCTACCCATGCATGCATGAACAAATTGGGGGACGGCGAATTCCTAATGCAGCCGAAATGGATCTGCGTGGAGAGGAAAATTATGACAAGGAAAGTCTCTGTTCTACAATGTGAAGTACACACCTGATCTTCCTTTCCTCCTTTGATCCATCCTTTTGAGGTGTAGGTAGTGTGATCATAACGGTGCGGTCTTTAATTAATCAGATGATATAAAATATATAATATTCAAATAATCAAAATAGTCATCATAATTATTCTTTACAAAATTTTTTAAGCATTTTTTTATTTTTAAGAGGCTAGTTTCTCGAGGGGCATCATCCTTTTTTTTATTATTCACATTTACATTATAATTTTTCGTTTTGTTATTAACAAGTAGCGTTAATTTATTTCCGTCTGCATAAATTTCAAGAACGTTTGATTCTTCCTTTCTCAAGTTGTATATCGATTTTCTGAATACATAATTGCTCACGAAGTTACACTGGGAGTTGAAGTTTTTTCCAGGGTAGATAATGATGAGGATGTATACATCTCTGCATGGTGGGACGATGATATGGGGAACATGTATAACATGACAGGTTGTCGATGTGGGGAACATGCACAACATGAAAAGTTGTCGATATGGGGAACATGCACAACATGAAAAGTTGCCGATGTGAGAACTCACTTGAAGTGGGGGGTGAATTTCTCATGGGGAATGTTAAACCTGCTGAGGGAGTCATAGGTGAGAATTATGTTGCAATTGTGCACCGAGAAGCGGTGCAGTTGCTCGTGGTGATTACTAAGAAACTGGTTATAGAAGTTGTATTCAGATTCCAGTTTGAGAAGATAAATGTTGAAAAAGGAATCGTGTGAGTTGAATTTATTTTGTTGAATAATTTTGTATGCATTTCCCTTTTTGAATTCAAGCATGTCTTCTCTGTTATGCATTATGTAATTGTCCTGTACCAAACGATTTCCTACATAGAGTACGTATATGTGGTCTCCTCCTGGATGATGATTTCCATTTGTGTCATCGGCATGGGGATTATTTTGTTCATCCATCATTTCTTGGTTTGTAAAAAAATAACCATAGTTATATGCATTATACAAACTAAGAGAATGTGTATTGAGAAAATACTCATAATTAATGTGATGCAATATTCCATTTGAATTAACAAAAACAGAAATGTACATATTGAATATGTGTATTTCTATATAATCAATTTTTAGGTGTCCATAATTTGATTTAATAAAATTAACAAGATCATGTAATTTTTTATATTCTATAAAAATCATTTTATTATTATGATAGTTAATATCGACTCTATTAATTACATAAATGATAAACCCCTTTTGATAATTTTTTAAGAAAATATTAAAAAAATAAGATAATTCAAGAAAAGAATGTCTTTCTAGAATATTGGATAAATCTATCATAATTGTTTTTTGTTTTGAATTTTTTAAATAATTTTTTAATATTTCAATAAAAAATACATCAGAAAATTTGTCTAAATATTTTTCATTTGAAATAAATTTTACTTTTTTATTATATTCATTATATTCTGATTCGAGGGTATGGCTTAACATGCTTAATTTCATACGATAATATTCTTTTCCAATATCGTAAATGTTATTTATATTTTGCTCATATATGTCACTTAAATTCATGGCTTTGGAAAATATACTAGATACAATTTTGTTTAAATTATTCGCATTCATATTTATGTATTTTATGTATTTACTTATTCCTTTCAATTCTTTTACAGAGTTGTGAAAAAATCCATTAATTGTTGTTTTTAATGTTCTGTTAAACTCATTCTTTTTATTATTCAAATTTTCTTCTATTGTATCTTTGAATGCATCATATTCACTTTTTAATTCTTCCATTTCATTTATAAAATTAGCAATTTTCACATCATTCTTTTTCAGAATTATATCTTCTGTTCCTTTCGAAGCTCTTAATGCTCTTAGGAAATTCTCATACGTTCTCTCTAACTCCTCTACATTGTTTCTCAATTCATTGTACAGAAAAGCTAATGAACTCACGTGTTTCATGATTCTCTGCTTCTCGCTTTGGTAGTGAAATGGATTCAGGACCCGGCTCTTGAAACTCCCTGCAAAAAAAAAAAAAAAAAGGGAATAACATGACACACGGTGCTTGTACGTATATGTGGAAGAAGTGACATGAAGAAGTGACATGAAGAAGATGAATGGATAAGATGATCACGTCCCATCATTGTTCATGGATATGGATACATCCACTTGGGAAGAAAAACTTTTCCTAAGTGACTAATTCATGGTTTGGCCATTTAATATGCACATTCTCTAATCAGGGCTAATAACTTCCCCCTCCCTGATATTCTATTATACCCCTTTAGGGGTTCACAACATAAAAAAAAAAAAAAAAAAAAAAAAATATTCTGTCTTTTTGATAATGTCATAAGATTTGATTTAAGTTCATATGAGGAGAGATGTGTCCCACTTACCATCTTCAACGGATACATATTCTGGAAAAAAAATAATACATATAAGGAAGGAAAATCCAACAATTCGTATACTTCTCATTTGGGGATTAACATAGGGGAAAAAAAAAAAAAAAAAAAAATACTTTTTTCTCTCTTTCTATTTTTTTTTTGTTAATCTTAGAAAAATAGGTGCATATCTCGTTGATGCTTAGTAAAATGGATACAAGAATTTTTTAGGGAGTGTTGTGGCAGATTCATTTTTACAAAGTTTTTTTTTTTTTTTCCCTTCAGGTATATATAATGTTTAGCTTTTCTTCATAAGTTGCGAAATTTCATTCAAATTCGTCAAAGAAAAGAAGGGGGGTAGAGAGGGGGAAACATAAAAAAATTCCATTCCCCACGTTTCCTGCGTTCATTTCTTCATTTCAAAAAATAATGTGGTTGGTCACAATTTGCAAATGCGTCCTCGATGTGTACAATTTTGTTGTACTATTTCTCCAATTTGTTCGAATTCTTCAATTTGTGCAATTTTTGTGATTTTTTTTTTTTTTTTTTTTTTTTTTTTTTTTTTTTCTTCCCATTCACAAGGTGCCTCATTAGTTGACAGAACAAATACCTAACCATCATGGCAGAAATGTTGCTTTCAACGTTCCATCAGAGGAGGCTCACTATTAAAGAGAGTTTATAAAAATATATGTGCAAAAATATATACGCGTGTTGTATTTCATAACCTTTTGACAGTTATAGCCACTTCGAAAGGGAAGCTTTTCCTTCAGAGCAACACAAAACGTTTAGTTGTTTCTCTCCATATACTAAGAACCTTTTGGGATTAAAAATGTATTTGTAAAATGTTCTCGGTGCTTAACAATTGTTAGGAGAGGGGGGGGAGGGGGAAATAAAAACATATACATATAAAAATATATATACATATAAAAATATATATACATATAAAAATATATATACATATAAAAATATATATACATATAAAAATATATATACATATAAAAATATATATACATATAAAAATATATATACATATAAAAATATATATACATATAAAAATATATATACATATAAAAACATATATATACATATAAAAACATATATATACATATAAAAACATATATATATACATATACATATAGTATATGTACAATTTTCCCAGAATTCGTGGAAATGAATAGAATTCTTCGAATGGATGTAATATATGCATATTGCCCTATTTTGATAGGTGCCACGGTTATCTGTTTTTTTTTTTTTTTTTTTTTTTTGCATACTTTTTATGTACACTTATGGTTATACATTGTTTATGCATAACTGCATTCTTTTCACGTGAAAAATGTTTTTACTTTCAAATCGTGCTCCCTTGCAATGTAAGGTCGTGAAAGCGAAGGAGGATGGAGTGTCCTCCTCGTCTTATTCAATCCTTCTGGTAATCCCACAATTTTAGCACCATTTGGAGTAAGAGTACATTTTTTTTTTATTTCAAAATTGTTCATTTCAGGTGTTGATGAGGTGTTGTTTACTTCTGAACGATGGAGGTAAAAAAAAAAGGAAATATGGGGATGGAAAAAAAAAAAAAAAAAAAAAAAAAAAACAGGAACAGGAACAGGAAGAGGCGTACCCCAAATATATACACCACTTCCAAACTCCAACCCTCCTACCCTTTGCGTGGAATTATGGCAAGAATTTCTTGATCTTCATTTAAATTGTGTCGAATGAAGTTGTATATTTGGTTTACTGTTTCTGCCTTTGTTTTTGTGAATTCATACACACGGTTCAAATTTTTAACCAGAGCAGGATAGGAATTTATGTAGTTGTTTTCCAAAGTTTTTTCCATAATATGAATTGATTTTTTCACATCATGATTAAAAAAATATGACACTGCTAGATTGTTACTATAAACTGCGTAATAATTTTCCATAACATTACTGTTTTTTTTTTTTTCTTCTTCTACCTTCTCTTCGATATTGAAATGGATTTTTAGAATTTCATTTAATGCAGTTGGATAGTCCTCAAGGTACATGTTTAGGAATGCCCTATTAGTATGTATATGTGCATCTGTTAATTTCTCTAAATAATTGTCATCAGATTTTATATCTATTTGTAGAAGTTTTTCTACTAAGCTGAAGGATGATTCTGCATCTTCTAAGGCTCCCATAAGTAAAGACAATTTACCAATTAAAGATATGGTAGAAATATGTCTTGGATTATATCGTAATATTTTATTCCTCAACAATTGGATACCTTGATCTATGTAATTCTTTTTCAACAGGAGATCACATAACACATAACATGTGATTATTATATTTTTTAAGATGACCTTCTGCTTTTTGTTAAGGTTAGTAAAATCAGTGACCTCATTTTTTGTATGTATATCATTGTTCGTAATTCCATT